AGATGTCCTGCTGTGACTGGAAAATAACATTTGAGGTTCAAGAGAATGGTACAATGTCAGGATAGAGATTGGGGTAATGTCTTCGAAGGGAATAAGCTTAGGGAGATGAGATGAATATCTTGTCCTGGATTAATATTTACATTGCTGTCACAGTGATAAGTGATATAACCTCAATTATAAAGAAGAGGAAACCAAGAGATAAACGATACTAAGGGATAACCAGAAAAAAGTGAAAATCAAAATGCAAAATTTCTAATTTTGAAACTTGAATATTTTGAGAATGGATGCTAAGAAAACAACTTAACATCCATTAGCAATATACGTTTCTAATTAGTGTTCTTAGCTGAGCCACTACTGGTTCATTGGCTTGAGACCTTCTTTGGGCAAATTCTTAACTCCTTCAGGCCTCAGTCATCTAATCTGTAAAACAGGGTTCCTGAGGATTAAATAAAACAATTCAGATAAAATATTTAGCATATTTGGCATATAAAAAGGGTGCTGTAATTTTAAAAATATTTACTTATTAGTGGAACAACTATGCTAGAAAGCAGAAAACAACTAAAAACACATTATTAAAACTATCCAAGAAAACCACCAGTAAAAGAACAAGTGAAATTAGTTACTCGGAAGACAAATGCTATACAAATGAATGGCTTTTTCTTGCTACTTCCTGAATACAAAGAATGGTATTTAGTTTGACATGCCACCTACTATGACTACACCACAAAGCACCTCTAATTCCTTGTATTAGTTTTCTATTGCTGTGAAACAAAATATCACAAACTCAGCAACTTAACACAAATTTATCTCAGTTCACATGACTGATACTCTGCTTAGGATCTTACCAGGCTGAAGCCAAGCCGCTGGTCGGTGCAGTGGTTCTTGGTTCTCACAGGGTCCTCTTGCAAGTTCATAGGTCACAGGCAGCAATCCATTTCCTTGCAGTTGTAAAATTGAGGTCCTCGTTTTCCTTCTGGCTGTCAGTTGGGGGCTACTCTCAGCAACTTCAGGCTGCCTGCAGTTTTTTGCCACATGGCCCCCAGAGGCAGTTCACAACATAGATGTGAACTTTTTCTCTATAGGCCAGCAAGGAACTTCTGGAGCACTAAATCCTTTTCATGCGTCTAATCTGACTTCTGTTTCTGACTTCCAGACAGAGATTTATTGGGCTCATATGATTAGCCCTTCTGGATAATCCATTTTATGGTCAACTAATCTGGTACCTTAATTATACCTGCAAAATCCCTTCACAGCAGCACCTAGAATGGTGTTTAAATAACTGGGAGGTGTGTGTACCCCAAGGGGCTGGAGACAGGGACCATCTCAAGACCCTTCTACCATATTCCTGAAGCACCTGCAAGTTCAGTCACAGGACTGAGCAGTGATTTCTAGCGGCATTGCTAGATTTAACGTTTTACCCTTTGGCTATTTCTCTACACTCCATTTATATTTGAATGACAAGTTGCAAATACCTCAAAGTCCAAGAGATACGCATTTTAGAATGATGTGTAATTATGGGTCTTTCACCTTTAAGTTTGTGCCCCTAACACCTACATAATCATTGGGTCAAGCCAAGAATTTGTCACTTAAAAAAAAAAAAAGGCCGGGCGCGGTGGCCCATGCCTGTAATCCCAGCACTTTGGGAGGCCGAGGCGGGCGGATCACGAGGTCAGGAGATCGAGGCCATCCTGGATAACACTGTGAAACCCCGTCTCTACTAAAAAATACAAAAAACAAAATTAGCCGGGCGTGGTGGCGGGCGCCCGTAGTCCCAGCTACTCGGGAGGCTGAGGCAGGAGAATGCCGTGAACCCGAGAGGCGGAGCTTGCAGTGAGCCGAGATCATGCCACTGCACTCCAGCCTGAGCAACACAGCGAGACTCCGTCTCAAAAAAAATAAAAAGAAAAAGAAAAGAAAAAAATAGCAGTTTTTCAACTAAAATTGTTTACTATTGTTTAAGATCTAAGAAATGTCAGTTTGATCAATATAGTCCTGGCAATAAATCAGTTGAGGCCAAGCCTGGTTTGAGGGGGTATGTGAACATATATTTGCCCTGAACATATTTAATTAAAGAGCATGTATTTTAGGTTGTCAAATCAACTGGTTTCTTTCAGGAGCCTCCTAGCTTAGACACAGCCAGGCTGAGAAACCATTAATCAAAAGGAGCAAGGAGCAAATGCTAAGCTGTGGGTGGAGCTGAAGTACAAATCATGGTTGAGATGCTTAACTTCCAGGGCCACCAGAAACAGCTGTCTCTGCACTGGTCTCAGCCAGGTAAAACTCCAGAAACTTCAGAAACTGCTCTGCATTTGGGACACTCCAGGGCTGCCAACAACAGCTGTCCCTGCAACTGGCCTAGGAAAAAAAAAAAAAAGAGATCTCCCATCCCTTTCCCCTATCTTACCCAGATTCTTGAGGGTCAGTCTATACATGGGTCCTTTAATATGTTCATTTTGCTCGCTGATCACACTATTCCAGACTAGTCAATGCAATACACAATAGGAACAAATGATGGTGTGATGATGTCTTGAATATCTCGAGATACCAAAGTTTATACTCACTATATACAGGTTGACCTAATGATATCTCGGGACACTGATAAAAGCCAGTGTTCACATGTATGTTCACATTTTGGTCTCTGGATCCTAAAAAATGTGTAAGTGCATTTTAAATTACTTTTTGGACTTTCTCTCTTGTCTCCTTCTTTACTATAGGTAATGATGAGACTTTAAACTCTCTTTTCCATGCTGTAAAGGGATTCTAAACTCTATAAATCATAGTTAAGCTGGTGTTCTTACATGACTGAGTTATAATCCATTGATTCTTGAGCCCATTTATCCTGCTTACTCCACCTCATCTTCAACAAAAGGAAAGATACTGGGGACACTAAGTGAACTCTCTGTATTGAAGGATTAAGGTGATGTCTCGGTGTCTGATACCTGTCTGAGAACATCAGACTCATCCCTAAAACAAACTAGGATGTCTGGGTTGGCACTGGCAGAAATCAAATTTTGAAGTATACTTCAAAAGAAAGAAAAAAAAAAAACTTTTAACTACAAATGCAGATTTTCCTTTTGCTTCTTCCCACATTATAGACATGGTAGAACAATATTTTGCCCATACTTAGTTAAATTGTTCCAAGTTGGAAAGAACCAAACATAGACACTTTGGCATTATTAACGGTGAGCAGGCAGGTTTATTCAGAAAAAGCTCAGATTCATACTTGTAAAAGTCTGAAAAAAAGATTAAAATGCTATTACAACACAGTTGACCCAAATAACACAGGTTTGAACTGTGCAGGTCCACTTATCTGTGGATTTTCTTCCACCTCTACCACTGAGACAGAAAGAACAGCTCCTCCTCCTCAGACAACTCAGCGTGAAGATGAGGATGAAAACCTTTAGGATGATTCACTTCTACTTAATGAATACTGAATATATTACTTCCTTAATAACATTTTCTTTTCTCTAGCTTACCTTCTTATAAGAATAGAGTATATAATACATACAGCACAACAAATATGTGTTAATCAACTGCTTTATGGTATCGGTAAGGCTTCCAGTCAATGGTAGACTAACTACTAATTAAGTTTTTGGGGAGTCAAGTTATATGCAGATTTTCCACTAAGCAAATGTTCAGCGCTCTTAACTCCTGTGTTGTTCAAGGGTCAACTGTATATATGTTTAAGAGTTACTGTTTACCCAGTAGATCAAGCCAAGACCAAGTTAGGTTTTTGTGTTTTTGGCTTAACCTAAGAAAATGTTCAGACTAAAGCAGTCCATCAATAGAACAGACTGCCTTTTAAACCAGGGAACAACTTCTCTTTGTAGGTATTTTAGGTATATGAATGACCATAGGTGATCTGCTTTGGGTCATCTATGGTCCCTTCCAACTTAAAACTTCTATATTCATGAACACTGCATAACTGAATTGTGGATTTCATATAAATAATATCTCGTTGCCTACTTTAGGTTTGAAATGTTTTCCTTCTAAATTGCATAGGTATATATATAGCACCATCCCCACCATGAACTCTGATGTAGAAAACACAAGATTCTAAAGTCATTTGTGAGGCTAAACAGACTTAGGCACTTCCATGTAATACTGCAAAAAGCAACAGCCTTAAAGGTACTACTTGCTCAACATGTCATTCCAAACACATAGACTATGATTAGCAGCTGAATTTAACAGTATCTTTCCGCTTTGAAAAACACTTCATATACCTTTACAAAGAAGCCATAGTATCTCAGGGTAGAAAAACCCAATAGGTAGGAAACATGGTCTTTTCTTAGAAATGAACTATGTAATTTTGAGTACTTATCTCAAAATCACTGCAGAAACATATCTAGTGCTTGTGGAAAAGGAATCAATTTTTTTTTTTTTTTTTTTTTAGCTAAAGGTTTTGAATTTTTCTTGTGACATTTAAGTCTTTTATTGTATGCTGATTTTTATGATTATCTGTTTCATAATGGTTATTCTTGCCTCCATGAAAGGGAAGACTAGAACAAAAAACTGACAAGACCAAGTTCTAGCTCCATCACCAACTTACTGAATGATCCTAGGCAAATCATGTGGGCTCTTTCTTGTGTTTTAAGGTTTACCTCCAATGAAGTAACTACCTCAGACTGGCTGTGAAGCTCTCATAAGGTGATGGACTTGAAAATGCCTTGCAAAGTATGAGCAGTTCATACACAGAAAGTTTCACGTACTTCTATATCTTGCATGATGCCTACCCATGGTTAGGGTGATAACAGTTGTTGATCCAATTATGAAAGAAAGAAAAAGAACTCTTTAAAATAGTGAAGTAAAATAGCTAATTTTCCCATGAGTTTATCATTTGCTCTATTCAAAAGTTTTAAAAATTATATTAACTATAAAACTAAACATATTTATCTTTATTATATATGATATGCAATTATATGACATACTATTATATATATAATGCTTAAACAATTAAATATAAATTATACTTTCCTTCCCCAGATAAGACAAAGAACCTGTTTACTTCTTTAAGGATTTATTGGTTCCTGTGAAACCTGTGAAGGTCACTAACACTCTACAGCCAGAGAATGACAACATATGATTGTCTTTTCAGTCCTGTAGTATCCACAGTAGTGATGTCTGTCCATGGACAAGTGTCTGTCCAGAACATCCATTAAACTCCATGCCTGCTCTGTGTGTCATGGGGACAGGGACAGAAGACAGATTCACTGGTGGTAGGCCCTCCCTTTGGGGTGTGCCATGACAACGATACCCCAGGTGGCAATGCCTAGAAAAAAACAACAATACCATACCTTTATGTTGCATTTTAATTTACCAAGTGTTTCACATACACGCCATCTTATTTAACCCTCACAACACTTCTGGAGGAAATATTACCATTGTATCTTTCTTATAGGCAAGTGAAGCACAGAAAAAGAAAAAAAAAAATCAGGAAAAAAAAGAACATCTTGTAGGAGAATTTACCTATACAGAATCAAGAAGGTAACACAGAAACCTCAAATTCTATCCACTGACAATCGGTTTGAAAGCTAAAAAGATCATGACGTTTTACTGATGACATCTTGACGATCACAGAAAGGGGTTGTGGGCGACATTACCCAGGTGTACCAAGTAGGTGAGCTTAGAACCCACGTCTAAAGATCTGGGATTCAAGGCAAATTTCTTAAATTAAGGTCAAGTGCCCTCGCTCAGGCTTTCTCCAGGACCTGGAGAAAAAGTATGGGCTTTGAGATCTGATATACCTGGGATCAAGTGACTGTCATTTCCCGACCATGAACACAATACTCCTCGTTGCCTTGGTTTGCTCCATAGTAAAATGAGAATACTATAATCATACCTACTTCTAACAGCTATTCTGAGAATTAAAAGGACTGAGCCTAATAAGCGTTCTCAAGAAATACTGATTTAAAATTAAAAAAAAAAAAAAAGAAAGAAAGGCGTTCCAACAACTTCTTCTCTCACCTTGTTTGAGGTGCCCCCACCACCTGACCAGCGCCAGCACCCCGCCTCCCCGCCCACGTGGCTGCTCCCTTTCCTTCCTCTACCCCACAGATACCCAACCCGCCCAAGTGCTGTGCCCTGATGCTCACTGATGCCGATGACCATCTTCGTAATTGTCCATGGACCCGGGGGATATCCCATCTTCATGGGTTTCCGTGCCTCCCAGTAGACGTACCCGCCCGCCCCCATCAGCCCCAACCCAGAAAGCACTCGACAGCTCCAGCAAGTCTTCAACCAGTTGTGTTCTGCTGGGGAGGTCGGCGCTCCGGGTGTAGCTGGGGGCGCAGGCTTGGCGGGCACGGCGGCGGTATCGGGAGACGCAGCGATCTTGGAGAACTCCAAAGGCTTGGACACCTGAAACCCCATGTTCTGGAACTCGGCCTCAACCTTGGGAGTCTTTGGTTCAAACCGACGTAAACGATGCACCGGAAAGCAGAGCGCCGGAAAGCAGAACGCCGGGACGCTTGCGCCGTGCGAGGAGGAAGCCTGAGGGCTGCTGGGAAATGAAGTTCCCCTCCGCCTCAGAGGGGGAAAAGGTGAAAGAATGCTGCCCTTTATTGCTGGATTTCTCTGGCAGCAACAACCTCGGATGCGCTGGAGGCCAATTCCAACCCTCCTCCCCGCCGTCTCCCCACCGCCCCCCCCCCCTTTTAGAAATTCTGTAATCGCTACTCACTAAATGCATCACCTTTCAATCTCCTTAGAGGAGAAGTCTGGGTCGCTAAGTTTCTTGCCTTACATGAACTGCCAGACCTTGGGCATGTCATATCTCCTATCCAGAGGCCTGTGAATCAAGGAGTTGGGTTTTATATGTGCACAATCATGTGCTAGATACAGACATACCATAGAAATATTGCAGGTTTGGTTCTAGACCACCACAATACAGCAAATATCTCAATAAAGCAAGTCATGCAATTTTTTTTTTTTTTTGGTTTCTTGGTGTATATAAAAGTTTTTTATACTGTAGTCTATTAAATGTGCAATAGCATTGTGTCTAAAAAACTGTGTATATCTCTTAATTTAAAAAAAAAATCTTGCCAAAAAAATGCTAACGATTACCTTAGCCTTCAGTAAGTACTAATCTGTTTTTTTTTTTTTTTTTTTTTTTGAGGTGGAGTTTTGCTCTTGTTGCCCAGGCTGGAATGCAATGGTGGATCTTGGCTCACTGCAACTTTTGCCTCCCGGGTTCAAGTGATTCTCTTGCCTCAGCCTCCTTAGTAGCTTGGATTACAGATGCCTGCCACCACACCTGGCTAATTTTTTGTATTTTTAGTAGAGATGGGTTTTCACCATGTTGGCCAGGCTGTTCTCAAACTCCTGACCTCAGGTGATCCACCTGCCTTGGCCTCTCAAAGTGCTGGGATTACAGGCATGAACCACCGCGCCCGGCCACTTCTAATCTTTTTGCTGGTGGAGGGTCTGGCATCGATGTTGATGCCTGCTGATTGATCAAGGTAGTGGTTGCTGAAGGTTGGGGTGACTGTGCCAATTTCTTAAAATAAGACAATAATGACATTTTCTGCAAGAATTTTTTTTTTTTTTTTTTTTTTTTTTTTTTTTTTTGAGACGGAGTCTCGCTCTGTCGCCCAGGCTGGAGTGCAGTGGCGGGATCTCGGCTCTCTGCAATCTCCGCCTCCCAGGTTCACACCGTTCTCCTGCCTCAGCCTCCCGAGTAGCTGGGACTACAGGTTCCCACCACCACGCCCGGCTAATTTTTTTGTATATTTAGTAGAGACGGGGTTTCACCATGTTAGCCAGGATCGTCTGGATTTCCTGACCTCGTGATCCACCAGCTTCCGCCTCCCAAAGTGCTGGGATTACAGGCATGAGCCACCGCGCCCGATTCTTCTGCAAGAATTGACTTTTCCTTTTACGAAAGATTTTTTTGCAACATGCAATGACGTTTTATAGCATTTTAATAACCACCATTTAACGTCTTTCAAAATTGGAGCCCTTTATCCAACATTTTGACAATGTTCATAGCATCTTCACCAGGAGTAGATTCCATCTCAAAAACCACTTTGTTCATCCACAGGAAGTAACCCCTCATCTGTTCAAGTTTTATCATGAGATTGTGGCAATTCAGTCACATCATCAGGCTCCACTTCGAATTCTAGTTCTCTTGCTATTTCCACCACATATGCAGTTACTTCCCTCATCTAAAATCTTGAACCCTTCTTAGTTGTTCATAAAGATTGGAATCAATTTCTTCCAATATCCAGTTAGAGATATTTTGTCCTCCTCCCATGAGTCACAAATATTCTTAGTGACATCAGAATGTTGAATCTTTCTCAGAAGGTTTTCAATTTACTTTAACCAGATTCGTCAGAGAAATCATTATCTATGGCTGCTATAGCCTTACAAAATGTATTTCTTAAATAGTAAAACTTGAAAGTCAACATTACTTCTTGATCTATAGGCTGCAGAATGGATGTTGTGTTAGCAGTTATGAAAACGTTAATCTCTTTGTACTTTTCCATTACAACTCTTGAGTAACTAGGTACATTGTCAATGAGCAGTAATATTTTGAAAGGAATCTTTTTTCTGAGCAAGAAGTCTCAACAATGAACTTAAAATATTCAGTAAACCATGCTGTATATGGATGTGCTGTCATCAGGCTTTGTTGTTCGAATTACAAAACACAGGCAGAGTATACTTAGCATAATTCTTAAGAGTGCTGGGATTTCCAGAAAGATAAATGAGGATTGGCTTCAATTTAAAGTCATCAGCTATATTAGATTCTAACAAGAAAGTCAGATTTGAAGGGTGAAGCCAAGCATTGACTTGTCCTCTCTAGTTATGAAATGGCATCTTTTATTAATAGAATGCTGCCTCATCTATACTGATTATCTGTTATCAATGATCTAAGTTAGGTTTCTTTGATAACTTGCTGCAGCTTTTACATCAGCACTTGCTGCTTCACCTTGCAATTTTATGTTATGAAGGCAGCTTATTTTTTTTTTAAACCACATGAACCAACCTCCGCTAACTTCCAACTTTTCTTCTGCAGCTTTCTCACCTCCCTCAGCCTTGGTAGAAGTAAGGAGAGTTGGGGTCTTGCTCTGGATTAGGCTTTGACTTAAGGGAATGTTGTGGCTGATTTGATCTTCTATCCAGATGACTGAAACTTTTTCCATATCAGCAATATGACTGTTTTACTTTCTAATCATTGGTGTGTTCACTAGAGTAGCACTTTTAACTTCCTTTTCCTTTGCATTTACAACTTGGCTGTTTGGCCTACATTCCAGCCTATCCCAGCTTTCGACATGCCTTCCTCAGTAATAATCATTTCTACATTTTGACTTAAATTGAGATAAGGTTGACTCTTCCTTTCACTTGAATACTTAGAGGCCATGGTCAGGTTATTAGTTGGCCTAATTTGAATGTTTTTGCATCTCAGCAAATACAGAGAAGTAGAGAGGTTAATGGTTGGTGGGTGGAGCAGTCAAAACACACATTTTTATTAAGTTCACCATCTTTTATGGGTGTGGTTCATGCTGCCCTAAAATTATTCCAATAGTAACATCAAATATCACTGATCACAGATCACCATAACAGATATAATAGTAATGGAAAAGTTTGAAATAATGCAAGAATTACCAAAATGTGACACAGATATGAGTGAGCACATACTGTTTGGAAAATTGTGCTAATAGGCTTGCTCTACACAGGGTTACCACCAAACTTTCCATTTGTAAAATGTACAATATCTGCCATTTACAGTAAAGTGAAGCATAATGAAGTAAGATATGCCTGTACTTTGCTAAGCAATCAATTGCATGATGCCATTTAATATCCTGACTCAACATGGCAGATTAAGTTTTCCCAGTATATGACAAAAATGGCTAAGTGCCATAGCCATAGTTGAAACCAGTGTCTGAGGATACAGTCAAATATCTTAAGCGCTACCTATACATATTGTGAGGAGAGTACACAAATGTGATCGATACGTTAAAAATTGGTTTGAATTACCTGAATGAATACTTTTTTATTTCTCTTTAGCTTCTTTCTTAAAGACATGGTCTGAATTGTATCATAGTCATGGCATTGTTTTTTTGAGAGCCTTGGAAAAGTTCAACCCCAAAATCAGGCTAATAGATAGGAGGAATTGATACAGAATCTGTTTTTGCCAGTTTACTTTCTTACCTCTTAAGAATGATCTTTTAATTCTGATACTGTCTTTGCAATTAAACTTCTGTATCATCAACTCCCAACTCATACTACCTTTCATTTTCTTTGGGTTTTGAATATATATTGCTTATGTTGGGTTGTTCTCAGAGAATTACTAGCAAGAAATCACGACATTTAGAGTTTTGAGTTTGTTTCTCTTAGAGGAGATGGGTGAATATAGGAATAACTTTGGATTTAAACTTTTTTCCTTTGGATTGACTTTAAAAATTAACAAGATAAAAACATTCTGTTCTATGTTCTGAAATGCAATGTGATTTTAGGAAGGTTAAAAAAATGAAAAAATAAAGATATGGATATATAAGGATAAAATAAAGTAGTGAGAATACTGGACTGGCCTATTGCTTAACTTCAAAGATGCCCCCTATTTATATATATGTTATATGGCACATATAATTAGAGAGAGTCTTTATATATGCACGCACATATATGAGAGACAGATATATATAGATATACACATTTCTATATGTATATTTATATCTATAGAAAGGTGTGTGTGTGTATGTATGTATGTATGTGCATGTGTGAGTGTAGTAGGAAGAAAAAGGGGTTTGGGAGATTTGGGTTCGATGCCTTGCTTCATCACTATGAGCCACCCATGTGACATAGAAAATATTACTTATCTTCTCTGGACCTCAGTTAAATCATGTGTAAAATAACATTTGGACTAGTTGGTCTCCAACAGTTTTTCCTGACTTGAAAATCCAACTACTTATTAGGAATCTCTCTTCAGATGGCATTGCACTAAGTGCCATACCAAATGAATTCAATAGTATTTCACTATTTTACTTAGAAATTCACAATTTATGGCTTATGCTTCTTACTGCCTGATACAACATTTTATAGTTGTGTAATTTCTTCATATTTATATAGGAACAAACTCATCGTTTGGCAATTGTTGCCAGACATTTTGACTGAACACCCTATAGATAAAAAAGCTTGAGCACACACTATCATTTATGCATGTTTCTTATTTATAAATTATATATTAATATACTACCTTATATATTATAAGGATAAGTTAAAATAATAGAAATAAGAAATTTCAATATTTTCTCACATCACAATATATGGACTTGTGCATCTCCATGGATACCATGGTTATTTGACATGTGATTTTATTAATTCATGTTTTATCTAAAAGCTTATCTTCCATCAGGAGAGAACATCATTAATTCTCCAAATAAGTACTGTTAAAGTAGCCCCATAACACTACATCCAAAGAACAGGCAAGATTTTATTTTAATTTGTGTTCCTTTCAAGTACCTTCCAAAAGATGGGTTTGTTCTCTTATGATTATCTCAAATGAACTATTTCAGGCTTTGTTGCTGTTTGATTGTGATATCCTTCCAAAATTCAACAATGGCTTCTGCAGAGCCTATGTATCCTAAAACTACATAGCACATGTTACAATTGAGATGGACTAACATAATTTTGATTGGAAAACTGCTGGAAGCATTAACACACCTCTTGAGATTAATGAAACACAACACTCTGAGAATAAGGGAAG